TGTAAGTCTTCATCCACTGGAGCTGTACCCGCATCTGGAGATCATGGACAGGAGAACGGCTACTCGGGTATCTAACCGTAAATAGGCGGGCGTGGATTCACTGAATAAATGATCACGATGAAGACGTGACGGCTTTTTCGCGTGGCAGGCAAGCTTGATAAATGCCCGTAGAAAATACCGTGACATGTGAGAATCGGGTGCACCAAATTAGGTGATCGTGATCACTCAATAGGTAACACATGGCTATGCAAGGTCATCTTCAAATGAAATAGTCAAGTTGTACTAGGGATGTTTATTATTATACGGACTAGGATCTTCGTGGACTCTAATGGAGCCGACTGATCTTTACGTAGAAGTTTAAATATTGTTCATAATTTCTCGATGACAGTGTGATAGAATAGTTTAGTCTAGTATAAAGCAGTTGAGTCGAAAGAAGAAAGAGTCCTGCTAAGAACAGGATACATTCAAGTTTCGACGAATATCTGGCGCTCAGATGGAAATGGTCGAGAGGTATTAGTACCTCGGGAGCTTAATTACAGCTGGAGGTGGGGTTGAGGAAGAGATCACATCACATCACATTAACTAAAGCTAAAGCAGCTTTCGCCAACCTGCGACACCTGTGGCGCCGCCGTGACATCCGACTGTCTCTCAAGGGAAGGGTGTACAACACCGCGGTTCGTAGTGTTCTGCTTCACGGTTACGAGACCTGGCCTCTCCCAGCGGAAGATGCTAATCGACTTTTCGTATTCGATCACCGATGCCTTCGAAGCATTGCTCGTGTCCGGTGGGAACATCGGGTGAGCAATGACGAAATTCGTCGTTGTGTGTTAGGTACTTATAGTCATTCTCTAACGGAAGAAATTGTTCTACACCGTCTCCGATGGCTCGGTTATGTTTTGCGTATGTCTGCCCATCGACTACTTTCCCGTGCTCATTTTGCATGTGCTGGGCAAGGTTGGAAGAAGCTTCGCGACGGTCATACCATGGCATGGCGTAGAGATATGAAGAAGTTAGCCTTAGCATTGGCTTCGGTTGGTGCAGCTCGCCTTCCAGGCTGGGGCCCAAAGGATGAAGATTGCTGATAGTTAGAAACGCTGAGAGATATGGCTCAGAAGAGATGTCAGTGGCGCGATTACTATGTGGTTTGTTTGATGAAACACCGTTTCTCATAACACAAAAAAATATCTTCAAAAAGTGTATGGTGAAACTATAAAAACAATCATTCATTCATTCGTTCTCCGTGTTCTCCGTTTTCCCCATTTTCATTTAATCTTTCTGTACGCCGTCACAAGTTCATTTCGCATTGACACCATGCTTGTTCTCAAGCCGATGTAAAATATGTATATAGACGAATAGTAAGCATGGTCAAACGAATGGATTACGTCTTTATTCGGCTATTGCTTGACACGAAAAATGCTAAACAAAAGTGATGGATAATAATACGTCTCTTTTGTGGACCGAATCAGGAGAATCCATGTAAAGCCATAAACGTGAATGATTCGAATAGAATGGAATAATGTCTCACCCACTTTCCATACTTTAAACCCTTATAGTAAACTGGCTTTGTGATAAGATCTTTAAATTGCGTGATGCACCAAAGACCTCTTCAGTCCCTGACCTAGGTGGTCTTGATTGTGGCCCTTTTTGGTATAGAGCTATCCCTTTCTGCTAAATGTGGAGTGATGCGCTCAATGATTAATTATAATCTTGCTCCATTCCACAATGCTGGCGTCCTGTCGCAGTCATTCCTGTCCCTACAGGGTCCGCAACGATCAGTCACACCACTGTATTTCACTCTTCAGTATTATCTCCTTCAGAAACTGTGGTAGCGTAGCGAGTGACTCCCCAACACCTCCAGTCTTCGCTAACCATATGTATTATTATTTCATTTTGTCTACAAATGGCAAAGATTTACATTTGGTGTAGTGACTTTGTTCAGTTTCTTCAAAAACCCTTCCGTGATTCTTTATCTGTGCGTTGTATCTTTCTCTATTCTGGGCCTCATTCCCAATTTGCAGGATCTTAGTTGCCCTGATTATATTTGCTTGGCTTAAAGACGATTTCTCTAACAGGATCGAATGCACAAAGGTTAGAGAAAATATCTCCCAACCGCTAGCACGCGATTGTACAGATCTTAGTCTATCGTACTGATATATTTCTGTCCCCAGTTTATTACACACTGTTGTGTGATAAACAACAGACGAGGCGAACCCCGTGATCACGACTGCCTACTGTTCAGTCTGGGGAACAGGCAACCTAAGCTTCGTCGCTTGGAGCGACGAGCCACTTATAGTCCCACTAGTTTAAGCGTCCTATTAAACCGGTCGAAAGCGAAGCTAGCTATCGCCAGAGTTGGGTGGCTGTGGTGGGATTCGAACTTCGGGCCCTTGAAATTAGAGCACTCTGGTGACAGAAGCAGAGATCGCTTAACTGCCACCACTCACTTTTTCAAGAATACATATAACATTGCCCCGTCACAGAGTGTTTGTCATCAGTCATAAATCACTGACTCCTCAGATAATGGTTCGCATAAGCACGACATTTTTGATGATTCTGAATGTTTCCTAAACGTTTCCATATGCTGAATTTGTTTTTCTTTCCACACTCTACTTACCCGTATTCCTAACCTGCCCTATACAATTCTTTCTGATTCACTTGTTAGAATTGACACTACAATACCTTGATGTCACCCTTCCAAGCAGTCCTCAATGAGCTGAATACGGTGAGAACACCATATGCAAATTTCATCAGTTATCCTTTCGGATTTGTAGGTTAAGGCGATTTGGTTCCGCTGGAACGGCAATATCTTCATTTGTGATACAAGATTTTGTCTTATTATTCTCTCCTTTTTCCTTGTAGTATCCCCACACCTGCTTAAAAAGACTAAGCTAATCCGTTGTGGATTGAAAACTATCATAAATCGTGCTTCCGGAATATTCTTTTACGTAGTGTTTGTGACACTCATGTCAGATCTTTTATCTTTTGCTGATGAACTTAGTTCTAACTCAACTCACCCTTTGACATCATAATGATCTCCTGAAATGTCGCTTCCACACAGCCACTCGGTCAGCTTGTCGTATTTACCCTCCCGTAAATTTTTGTACAAAAATCCTAATAATACTTGGCACAAATTCTTACCCACAGAAGTGAGGTTCTGGGGAACTTTCAATGAGACTTTGTATTTCAAAATTTCTTTCTGGTGTTGCCACATTTTACTCCTCGTTTTGGTTTGCTGTACATGTATGCCCAATGCGGTTCATACGATAGACCTATAATCCAAAGAGATAACATGAAGTAGACCACCATTCATTCTCGCACAGACCGTTAGCTGTCATCAGTTGGCACCGTATGCGATCCTAACGCAAAGCTACCGCTCATGGAGGAGCTTCGGGTAAAAATATCCCTTATATACTTTCGATCACTCAGTCCGGCGCACACAGTCAGCAGCTTAGTATGAAAATGTTGGATGGCGTATGGTGTGCAAAATTCAACCGAATAATAGATGATTGGTTGCCATTTACGTATCGAAATGTACCTATTAATAATGGGGCCTGTTTGAAATATCAAACCAAATAGGTTACTTGAACTTATAAAGTACGCCTCTTTCGTGCGATTAGCAGATAACTGCGTCTGTTTTAGAGTCAGCACCACACGAATGTTCCTGCTCAGCACTGAAAATTGGGTAACAGTTCTGCTTATTTGCGTGTCAAAATGCTACGAGTATTCAAGAAACGTTCAAAATGATCACATCAGCGAAGATAAGTTTTAAATCTTTATGAGACTGTATTGTCTGAAAGAAATTTAGGTCAATAGTCACTTCTTGCAAACTGTATGACTGTTGGACGAAAATCGTACCTAGACAGGTAGCTCGGCAAGGTAGGAAAATGTGGCTTCAAAGTTAAAGATTGAATTGGACTACCTCCCTTTGTTTTGGTAGCATCTGTAATCTTCTTTAACATAATGAATTAATTTTTGGCGTTTGTTGAAGAATTTCATACCAAAGAAGAATGCTAGATCCGTGAAAAATGGAAAGTGTTCCTCTTGGGATAAGAACAGGTCACGTGATTTGTTTCCAGATCGAATAAGTGGGTTTGGCTGTTATTTATCGATGATGGAGAACTATCACCTGAAGTTTGATGTTATTCTTTAGAATGACATACTGTCTCGGTCAGCGGTTTGTATAGGAGCAAACGTAATATGAGAACATGGATTTGGTGGAAAGTAGGTTCGTGGGCCGTCTCTTTGATCCGCTTGTAGAACGCACCCTCGGTGATCATACTCCCTTCATCAAACCCAACTTTGTTCTCACGTTTCTCTCCTCGCGTGTACGGTGATCTGGCTTTCAGTGCTTACCATATTTTGCTGACGTTGGAGAACCGGTTGGAATTGTTCTGTGTTTGATCCCACTTCGATCAATAGCCAACTAGGTTGTGGACAATACAGTTGGTTCTGTGCTTATGCGTTGTATCCATCTGTGTGCCGATAGACTGTAGCGCTTGTGACCGGAAACATGAATCCTACTTTGCATGAAAATTATGCCTTTTAGATGTTTTTTTCTCTAAATAGTTGACAAAACTTCCTACTCTAGTATGTGAAGATGGAGAATTTCTTTGGGAATCACCTATTACACAAAATCTAGTAAGTATTAATAGAAACCATGTGGTTACTCGAGTCTCGTGCTTTTGTTTTGCACAATCAGGAAGCCACATGGTCAATGTTTATCATTGTCATGTGTTTTTGGGCGATAATAACAAAGCGACCATACTGATTGAATTATAGAAACGCCGGTGTTGATTTCTGTTTACATTTTGGGTGTTATTAACGTCACGTTGTGTGTTGGGTTTCCTGTGTGAATCTTGGAGTCTGTAACTAAACCCGAGTACATGGACATTTATTCATGTAAAGTTTTGGCTGTGATACTTTAACTCTGACTGTTCTGTTGCAATCACAGTTGTTGGTGAACTAAAACACTCGGTTAATCCTTCTGTTTCATCCCACAGACTGTAATCCAGAGGATGAACTGACCGACGCGGATAGGAGTGATCACCATTCACCGGTGCACGAACGTGTGCAACAACTCCATGCGTCCAAAAATGACACAGGAACCAACGACAGCATCTCGACAGCTGCAGCGGACTGGAGTGTGTCTTTGCTGCCTTGGCTGAATGCGTCCTGGCCCGAGCTGACTCCAGAACGTGGTCGACGTCGTCCAATGCGACGCAATCTGGCAGACCATTCACCTCCATCTTGTTCGGGTTCTTTGGTGAATCCGCGCAATCCGGCCCATCAATTACTTGATCAATGTACACTCTGGTCCGCCCCATCCCGTGTCTCTATGCCACAGGCGTTTGCCAGTCACTTCACTTATCAGGTTGGTTGGTTTTTACTGAATTTGGCTTTGCGCAATGCATTTTAGGCTCCCTGATTTCGCTTTTGGAGATTTTCCTGTGTTAATTATGCTAAGCATAATGTTTACATCATTTAATTCATTAACAAATTGTGTAAAAGAGAATCACCCAGTCAGGTAGGAAAAGTGAGAAAGCTTGGCGGTGGTAGCAACAATGAATTACACTGTTTAGCATTGCTATTGATGGGCTTGCCTCCCAAGGCCTCAGTATGGTTGGGGGTGGGTGTCTAGGGTTGCGGCTGGTCACCCTGCCCTTGCACCTC